GCATTCCTGTAGTCTGCTGGAGGAGCCCAACACACATCCCTCCCCACGATCCATCGTGCCTGAACGTGAGGAGACACATGAACCATAGTGGGGTCCTGGATGTGCACTTTGGGAAATGCTGTCTCCTTGAATACGTATGAAAAAGAGACAAAGAAAACCCCAGACGGTACGTACCTCCCTTCCCCTCTCCCCTTCACTGTGAGGTAGTATTAGCTTATTTATCAGCAGAAAATATTAAGGCACCAGTAATTCAATTTTAATGGTTTTTCTCACCTGCAGAACTGCCTGGAGTGGTTCATGTTGGGACCTGCTTTAATATTGCCTTTCTCTGGGTCATAGATGGTAGTTGCTCGTGCATAAGCTCCTCCAAGAATAAAGATGAACCCATTGAGAGTGACTGCAGGAGCATATTTGTTATCTGTCAATGGAAAGCAACACTGAGATCAGTTTTAGGCTCAGGTTTGGAGACTGTTTTTTTATTTATACATTCCCCTTATTTATAGATAAGTCACGTTTCTCTAAACCTCCAAGGCCAGGGAAAGAAAAATGAGGAAACCTTTCCTGGTTTTGTTCTTCTCTCTCCAAGTTCTCAAAGGCACTTTTAAAGTTCATCAGTCCTTCATCCCCCAGTACGCACCTCCCTCTAAACTGGTAAAGTACAATTATCCTCTCCCGAAGCCTAATGGAGTCACTGTGAAAGCTCCACTCTTACATATGAAATTAAGATGTCAAGTTGTTTCAGAATTTTGAATTGCTGCAAATTTTAACTCAGATGCTTCCCATGCCTGTGCCACAGCTAAGTACAGAAGGAACCCACAGCTCAGAGACCTGCTTAATAATATCCAGTAGTTGATTTTCTTTTGTATTCTGCTTTTGCTTGTGGGAAGGTCACCCACACAATCCAGAAGATTTTCTGAGACCCCATTTTTTTTCCCCTTCATCTGTCTTGTAAATTCACCTGCATTTTTATTTTCAGATGTGTGTGTGCCTCCAAGCAGTCCTGTATTTTAGCAACAAACTGTGTGAGGTTGGAGTTTGAAATTAAGCAACTTATCCTAATTCAAGTTCAATCAGAGTTTCCAAGGATGCTTTAAAATTCTTGTGTTAGCGGCGGCATTATTAGAAATATTGGTAAAACTAACCATAAATTATTGAATAAAATAATTCTAATTTAATTAGTTGACTTGTCCCGTATGCTGCTAGCACGCCATATGCACATTATTAAATATGAGCCAGTTGGGCTGAAATTTCTCATGATGGTGTCTGTCTTGATGCGATACAGGTTTTTTTTAATCAACATTTCAGTGAAACCAATCGGCAGTGTCTGGGAACAAAAGACGGGAAAATACATTGCTTTATTTGAGTTAAAATAAGCCTCACAACCAGTTCTCTAAGAAGCAAGAGCCTAAGCCCTTTGGGGTATGAAGCAGACGTCTCTGGTGCGGCTACCCTGGTGTGCGGGGACACTTCCAATAAAGATTATCCATATGTAGCTGTATGTTAGAGCCTCTCCAAAATCTGCACTTGTACACGCTCTCCAGTGCTGTGTGCAGGGAGTGGGGGGCCGTGCTCTGGAGAGGAGGTGTGATACCATCTTCACCAGGCTCTTACATCTCTGATAACGACCTCTACATAACATTGAAGGTCTGTATGTTCCTCCCAGATCTGTAACACTATGACTGTGTCCTTTTAGGAACCCAGAAAGAGATGGGCTTAAGCTAGCCCCAGCAGCTTTACTTTTGGCATTTGCCTGCCTCTTGCAGGGCTGGCATTGTAACCCTGAGGTTCTTGTAAAACCACTTTATTCCATTAAATATTTAACAAGAGATTTAATTTGACATGAGTTAAGAAAAAGCTGATTAATTTCCCCAGATGAGAGATAATTTCCTTAACTGGGGTTTGAACTGGTTGAACCAGCAGGAAAATAATGGGTTTGTGGTGTCTGCTTCTGTTCCAGTGTGGCCATGGGGTGGGCTGGCTCAGTTCATCTCCCCCTACATCGGTGCGTGCCCAGGGGGACGTACGGGGGCACAGCAGCCGGTGGGAAAACAGACAAAACATGTTACGGGTTAAAGTTGGGCTCCTATTATGCTGAGTATCTACAGGCATATGTCAAAAAAACATGGATGTATTAGGAAAATGTCACTGATCCTTGGGAACAGATGGGAAGAAACTAATTCATCCAGAAAATAGAACAAGGAGTATTCAGTTTCTTCTCGGTGCCACTAAGCCACTATAATTCATCAGAAAGACTTATCTGTCCTAACAACCCGTCTCGCATCTCTTTCCAAATCAGACTTGCATATGTGACATTTTTTCCAGTTAAGACACTCATCAGAAATTTTCCATATTTAATTATCACATCTTCCCAGCTTTTTCTCTTTGACTAGCACTGTTTTGCAGAAGAATGAAACTCTCGCATGAAAAAAACCCCTCAGCTCCCAAATCTCATGGGGAAATTATTTGGGGCTCCCTCCAGGCAGAACCAGCGACTTCTCAGGAGACTGAATCACCGACTTCACATTCCTTTTTGTTAGAGAAAGAGAGGGAAACCCCTTGGTTATTTTTATAGTGCCTTTTTTTTTTTTCTTTTCAAATAGGCAGACAGTCTGATGTTCTTTTTCTTTCTCTTTTTAAGAGGCAGTTGTGTTTGATTCTCATCAATTTTTCAATAAATCACCTATCTGTTGTCTTTTTACTGCTTTTGGCTTTAGCTACAATTTCATAAATTGGTATAAAGTAAGCCTGAGAGAGAGAAACAGAGAAATCTCTGTTTCTTTCAGGAAGGGAGACGTTCACAGCAAACAGCCTCCTGATCCTGATGAAAATATGGCAGAAAGACATGAGGGACAGCCCTCCAGAGACAGGTAGAGAGAAAACAGGGGGGTTTGGTTTTGTTTTGTTACCATGGAGGTGGAAATTGTTCACGGATACAGGGAGCTTGGAAAACTCAAGCCATCGTTCCTGCTACCTCGGTGTGGATGACCACTTCCAGTCTTAACCCTTACTTCATCCCAGGTGTTACCCACACTCTCCCCTTGTTGTTGGCCTTTCCAGGGCTTGGTAACCTCATGCAAGCACTCAGGAGACTCCGACTTCTGTCATGGCTCTAAGCCCTTAACATGCTCATAGTGCAAGGTGCTTGGTTGGGGAGCCTAATTTTGTAAAAGCGTGTTCTGGTTGGGCTTTTTGGTCAATGCTACTGGGCATGAACATGAGCTTCTATGGGTCAGAGGCTTGCTGTGGGGTACAGCGGGGACACTGGTTATTTTGAAAGTCTGCTGAAGGGAGGGAAGAGAGGGGAGAGGAAGCATGGAAGCAGAGAAGCAGCCTCCTTTCTCCTCCAAAATTCAAGCCTTAGGGCTGTCGGATATAGTAATCCATTTCAGGCCGGAAAATCTTAAATGGGATTTGTCCAGGACAGCAAGCACACTTGAGATTAAAAGGCAGAATAGATGTAAAGGAAATAATAGATAAAAGGTACTCTTCTCTCCAAGTGCGTAACATCATAACATCATTCTCCTTTGCTGTTGCTATAGGAAAATATGCAAGTATTTCTATTCTAGTGACAGGTCATTGCAGGAAGGGGTATGTACTCAACGACAACCCCTGAGCCGGAGGTGTACCTCACATGGGGTTGATAATTTAACCTACCGGTGCACTCCTCACTTAGTAACGGCATCGTGCTGCCTGTGGTGGGTTTCATGGCTCTCGTATCTCTTGGTGCATTATATGGTCAAGTAGCACAGTTCTGCTTTCCCCTCCATGATTGCCTAAAGATCTTACATTGCCTTCCAGTAAAGCACTCGGTCAGAGCCTGAGGTGGCATTAAAATGAATGGCAGCAGCACTTCATATGGAAACAGGTTATTAAAACCAAGCTAGTCAAACATTTTTCTCAAGAGGAAGAAATGCGGGCATGCCACCAGTTCAGATGTAACTCCAACCAAAGGGTCTCCCTGCAGGCACAGCCGGCCGATGGGGCGGTTCATACACATGATGAAGCAGATTGGAGAAAGGGAGCTAGTTAATAAAAACTAGATCTGCTTTTAATAGTAAGTGCCTCCTCCTGTCCCCTAATACTATGCAGAGAAGCTCGAGAATGGCATAGGAATGGATAAGATAACGTCCCACAGCAGCCGGGAGACTGTGGTCTGATCCTTAACATAGCTCGCGAGGCCGAAGTGCAGATATTGCAATTAACAGCAGGGTCTCGGATGTCAGCCCTTCTGGCACGGGGCTCTCAGGCTAGCTCATTTCTCATAACTACACAACTGGTTGCAGGGTCCTATGGTTTCCCCAATGACCCCTGAGCAAACCCTCCTCAGAGACCCCAAAGTTGAGTGTCCTCACTTGCAAACGCTGCACGTTGTGTATGTGTGGCTGGGATCACCCGTGCCACAGCAGAAGGCTCCACCTGCCAGCGTGGGGCAGTTTCAGCGTCAAATTTATGGGCAAAATGTTGATGAACTGAAGAGAGTTGGACAAAGCATGGCTGCACAGATGAAGCAGAGGTAGGAAGTCAAAGGGAGGACATCTGTTAAACGGCAATCACTGACTTTGCTGGGAAGAGGGCAGAGTATGTGCAGGGGAACACATCAAGGCGTGGAAAAAACCACTCTGAATGGAGGATATGGCAAACAGAGAGGAGAAATGGGTGTGACAAAGGGAAGTAAAATTCAAGCTTACTAGTGGGAAACACACCAAGAACTAGTCATGGGAAGAAAAATACATTGAAGGATGAGAAGCAACACTCGTCGTTTTGAGACTTCTAGGTGAGAGCCAGCCAAACCCACACATCGGTACCAAACTAGTGGCCTCAGGGAGTGGGCCAAGACATATATCTGATTTTTCTTGTAAAGTCCAAAAATAAATTCATGGGAATGATTTTGCATTTTAACCAAAATAAGCAATGGGACAGTGCAGTAAAAATGTACAGATGCTGCTAACGCTGTTTTCCAGATGTTTCTTGCATTCTTAGTTCTGTGGTTGTCCTACTTTGGTTGGACATATCACTGCAGGAGTAAATGGTACGGTGAGGAACTTGGATTACAAACCAGCAATGCTCGTAGATCTTTGACCTCTGTGTTCCCATAGTTCTCACCAGATTTTAAAATTTAATAGTGGTGATGATTAAACACTGGTTTTCTTACAATCCAGAAACATTAATAAAACCTTGTACAGACACTGACTGTTCAGGGTATCAAATAAAAGTATATTTTAGTGCTCTGGCATGAAGGCACAAAGTGAACTGAAAGGCAATGACAAGATAATTAGGCTTACTTACAATCACTGATTTCAGCATGTCTGTGGCCATCTTGTTAAATAAGACAAACCTCAAGAAGCTGGGCATGAAATGCATTTTTAGCAGAGCTGTATAGGACAGCCTGGCAAGAAATGGAAAAGCAGGTGCTGCAAGTATGTAGCCTGGGTTTATTTACTGTTGTAGGACTTTGGCTCGACAGCAGTAAACTTCTTACAGCTCAAAACACAAGAAGGGGATGTGCAAGGTGGTTTACCAAAACGATGCAATATGAAAGCCCTGGGAGGCTCCATTGCCTCAGTAACATCAAGCTGTGGGCTGTGCTGCTGCAGGAACATCTGCCAACTCCAAAGGTGGGGAGAACAGATTCAGGGCAAAGGATGGGGCACTGAGAAGGACCCTGCCCTCTCCAAATATGGATGTGTGTAATCAACACCTACCCAAAAGCTACCATGGCATCCATATGCAACATGTTGTTGAGCATCATACCTACTGCACGCGGGCATCCACATCCCAACACCTCCTGGCAGGTGAAGGCTAAAGAATAAATGGAAACTTGGAGTGAATTTGCTACTTATTCCTAGAAGAAATCCAGGCAGAAGACAGCGGGACCTGAGCTGTATGGATCTGCTATCGATCCCCGCGCCATATCTCCTCTGCACAGGCAGGATGTCGGTATCCAGCCTGCTTCATCTCCACCCAGATTAGCCAAAAAATGACCCTGCCCCTTGCCATGGTTGATACCAGTGTTGCCTTGGGTTAGTTGGCACACAATGCTTTGGAAGAGATGGACCTGTTGGGTTCAAATGTGTGCCATGCTGTGTTCAACTCACTATCATAAAACACCACAGTGATTTGAGATATGTACTGCTGGTCTGAAAACCCCCAGAGACCTTGGCTGCTTTCAATACCTGCATCTACTGCTGCATATCTGAGCATGCTTGTGGTATTTTGACATAATTCGTTGTCCTGTTTGAGGTCAAACAGGTTTCACTGATCTCTGGGGTGACCTTAACCAACACAACTCGCCATCAGAAGTCTCAGCTGACTTAGCTCAGAGGGACACCTTAAAAGTTCAAAAATGAACACAAAAAGGCTCTGAGGCTGTCAAAGGCACCCCAGCAGTGATCATCTCAGGGTTCATCTCAGCTCTATTTTTGTAAAAGTGCCCCTAGAATCCTTTTACTCCCTCTTTGTTTTAGATCAATGTTGACTGCACTGCACTTGGCATAGCGTCCAGTTCTTGAGGGATACTTTACAAATACAGGTGATACTACCGTTCTTGTAGAGCTGGAGAAATTAAAGTATATTCCCAGTATTCCCACAGCCTTCTAGTGAAGATCAGGCATCGCATCAGTTCAGTTTCCCAGACATTCTCCACCGGGGGTGCAATTTTTCAGGCTCTGTGTTATTTTACTTTATTTGCAAATAAATTGATGTTATACATTTCCCAACAAAGACACACAGCAACTCTGCATTTCATCATATATTTTATGCCTTCAGCTTAACTAATTAACTTTGCTTACACCAAAACATTAATACCATCTTTTAACTTCAGCGGTGCCTTTCATTTATTTTTGTTAGGAAATAATAGTACACGTCCATTAGAACAACGGATGATGAACTCAACTCTGGATGGTTTGGATGATTTTTTTTCCAAGCGCGCATGGTGTTGACACCTGCTACACAGTATAACAAGCCCAGGGAATGATTTCTTAGCTCCTGTGTCACTTGTACTATTTTGGTAAGGAAAAGGAATACCTCTTTGCATAATGCATTCATTTTTGCAATACGCTCCGAGTACAGGAAAACCTCATACTGTCAGTCAGTGGATTAAATGAACAGCAGCAGCTGTAGCCATGTGATGGAAAAAGCCAGGCAATAGGGTTGTTTGCACTGCTGTATTACATAAACATGACTTTTGCCGGTTAACGCCCTCCCGCTGGGCGCTTCATGCTGCATCATATGCATGTCATGTTATGTTAGGCTGGACACAAACAGCAGCAGGGGAGGTGGAAAGCAGCAGTGCTGGCTGCACAGGGGAGGCTACAGCCGTGGCTACAGACCTGATCTACTAGGGAACCCCAAGAAGAGAGTCATAGTAATTATAATGAGCTATTATGAGAAAAGCGTCTTAATTTGGCTTTCTGAATATGTTTAGGCCTTACCTGCATACCTTATAAGTGTACTTCTATAAATCATGACTTGCTAATCCTATTGCTTTACCACGCTCAATACTGCGATCATGATTCTTTTTAAATGAAGCACCTCATGTCACAGTTTCAATGCAACTAAGAGGCTTAGGATGGTGAGACACTGGAACAGGTTGCCCAGAGAGGTGGTAGATGCCCCATCCCAGGAAACATTCAAGGCCAGGCTGGATGGGGCTCTGAGCAACCTGATCTGGTTAAAGACGTCCCTGCTTACTGCAGGGGGTTGGACTAGATGACCTCTAAAGGTCCCTTCCAACCCAACCATTCTATGATTCTGTGACGTTATGATTCTATGATTCTAGGACACAAAAGCAAGCCACCCCAAAGCGGCTTCTCTGCGATGACTGTATGAGTGCTGTTTCTTTGGCCACCTGACTACCGCCAGGCTGAAGGCTGCCCACAGCCACCCAGCACAGAGCAGGTGGCCCAGGTCGGCTGTCACCCTGCAGTAATGGCCTCATGAAGCTGAACGCTAAACCTTGTTTCCAAAAGCAGCCTGAACACTCAGGATGCAAATCTCCATGGAAAGCAAGTGAGCTGCAATCTTCTGAGTGCTACCCTAATTTTGGAAGGAAGTCTGCACCTCTGATGTTGGCTTATACGTTGGAAAGTTTGGCCTCTTGTCTTGCTCTTTATTCTGTAAAATGTTCGGTGAGCTCAAGGGCATCATAAAGTAATAAACACAGTTTTAATAATCTCCACGTCTCGGAGATTTCAGCCTCTGCAGCACATATGCCTTTGGACATCACTGATAAATCCCAGTTAAGAATGACCGCCACTTCCCACAGGACAGGCGGCATTTTAACAAACCCGTGAGTAATAATCCATTAATTGAGCAGTGTTGTAAAACCGCATGGAGCAACCCATGATGCCAGGGTGAAGTTTCACTGCACTTTGTGATTTTTTGGATCTAAAATTACTAGTTGTCCATACCTAATAACTGCTTTCCTTCCTCCTCTACTTTGAACTCATCACTTCTAGCTGATAACTAGCTGTATTAATGAGTGACAATTGCCTTCAGTAAAGATCCAGATAATTGCCTCTCTGCTATATTAAAACATGCATTCCT